TGATCCCAAAGAAATTTTGTTAATACGATTTTTGAACTGCGTAAGGTTAGTAGAACTGGGAAAAGCTTCCTCCCGTAGATTGTTCCACAATCTAGACACCCTCGGGACAAAGGAGCAGTCGTATCGGCCAGTTCTGGATGTACGAAGTTTGACACGGTTAGGATGGGACGCCGAAGTCAGGCGGGTCTGTCTGGCAGGCACATCGCGCGGCGGCATCATGGAAGAGAGCTCTGAGGAGCAAAGTCCGTTGGTGTAGCGATAGAAAAGAGCCAGATCGCCGACGGCCCGCCGGTGCGAAAGAGTCCCGAGACTGTCTGTTAGAGAAGAGTCATCGATCAGTCGGACCGCCCTCCTCTGGACAGCATCGAGCATGGACAATGTAGTCGGGGCGGCAGCACCCCAAATGTGTGAGCAATACTCGAGGCTAGGCCTTATCTGGGCCTTGTATAGAGTGAGAAGGTCATGCGGAGAAAAGTACTTCTTAGCCCTAAACAAATAGCCTAGCTTTTTCCCAGCAGCTGCAGCTATTGAGGAGATGTGTTCGTGCCAGATCAGGTCCTCGGTGATCTGGACTCCGACCAGCCGAAATGAATGGCTCTTTGGTAGAACTCGACCGTCCATCGAAACTGTATGAGCGCTAGGACGCTTTTTGTTCGTCAAAGTACAGTACTGTGTTTTGGAAGCATTGAACTGTACAAGATTGTTGCGTCCCCAAGCAGTGATAGCCTCCAGGTCTCTTGTCAGAGAAGAAGTCGTCGCTAGTCTTCTTTTTTCCAGCTCAGCGGCAGAGATCGGCTTGTCACTCTGAATTCCTGCATGTAGAGTGCTGTCATCAGCGAAGCTGTGGATTGAGTTGATCGTGCAGGAAAGGAGGTCGTTGATATGTAAGAGAAACAGTGTTGGAGCCAAGACCGATCCCTGGGGAACACCCGCGTTGACGTTGTGGGATGAAGAGGAGAATCCGTCATAGTTAGGAATGAATATATTTTCCCTTTGAAGGGATAACAATTTGTCAAGGTTCATTCAAATTTTGCCAACGCTGAAAAAAGCTTCAACAATTCACCATACCGTACATCGTCCGTACCAGTACGTAAATATCATCAAATTTATGTGCACTATGGCAAATATCATAGAAGCGTGCTATCTGCGTTATCTATAATTAGAGTAACTGACTGTAAAATGAATCATTAGCCGATACTGATTAATGGTACAATTACAATTTGTCACATATCTACCACTGCTCTGATAAAGTGATATTTTGTTCCAACTCATCACCGAATGGAGAAATGAAAAAAAACTTCTTTTCGAGCTACTATCCAGACATTCGGGTTTTTATGGGGAACGATCAGAATCATTCTGAACTAGTAGAGCGATTTTGTTAGACTATACTGGTTAAAAATGACAAGAGATACAGCAATAACTTTATCAACGACCAATTTAACTCATTTTTCTCATCTAGTTTTGAGAAACCACGAATTGGTTTATGTGAATTTCTTAGTGTGAAAATTTGTGGAAGTAGCTGCCACGGACTGACAAAAATGGAAACTCTAAAATTTGACGTTCTGAATAGAAGACAGAAACAGAATTTCGGTGAAATGTATTTTCTGAGTGAGAGCTCATTTGTCAATACAATGCAAGCAGAAGCTTTTTATATTTAAATAAAAGGTAAGGACAGACGTAAAAACTGGCACCTGAGTCGGTTATTATTTATCTGAATTATGGTTATATCATTTGAAGGCGATAGAAACACAAAAAGGAAATAGATATTTTGAATACTTTGTAACTGCTTGGGAGGTGGTAACTAAAACAAAACGGAGTGTAAAATGTTTCTGGGAATCTCGCAAAATGTTATTGGCAACTTGGCGCTCTGCACCCGATTTAGCTACGTTTGTCGCCAGTAGGAGTGGGAAGTAAAACCACCGAAAACCGCACTATAAGAAAGCCAAGAGTTTGCAAATGACTCTGACAGTACGTGACATCCTATCTCCAGGGTAGGTGTACGAGAGATGTCTTTATGTTTTGCATATAGAAACATAGTAGGCCGCGCGGAACGAAACTCAGTACTGAATCTTAACCTCACTCTTTAGTAAACTTAAATTCAAAGTTTCACAACAATACGTGCAGTGTTCTCACTACAGTGAATTTTTAAGTGTCACCAACTCATTAGAAAAATGGAACTCAACCGAGAACATCAGTTGACAATTTCCGGTTGGTATGGAGAATTCAAACGTGGACGGTTGAGTCTTAGCGACGATCTAAGGGTGGGTGCACCAAAAACTTCAGTCACCCAGGAAAACTTCGATGCTGTGCGCAAGCTCATCATTGAAGATAGACATTATTATTATTATTATGATAATTGAGATGAGCAGAGTACACAGTACTATAAGCTCATGCAGTAAATATAGTGTACGGACACGTAACACAAATACATCAAATAGAAAAAAATAAAAAAAGACAGTTCATAGCTATAAAGTTTGTACACTCCTCCAGCAATCATACCGCACTTTGAAGCTATTAACTGAAGTAACACCAACGACACTTTCAGGTAAACTATTCCAGGTGTTGAATATGCGGTTGGGAAGAAACCACTGTCGAACTGTTGTTTTAAATGGCTCCTTATGCAGTTTGAAGCTGTGTCCGCGTAGATTGCTGCGCGACAGACGGTATAGATGCATGAGGTTGGTGCCCATCAAACCATGAAGTATCCTGAACGTAACTATACGATCGCCACGAAGTCTTCGCTCAGAGAGTGAGGTCAGGTTGAATAATTCAAGGCGATCTTCATAGCTTGGTCTTCGTGCTCCAAAAGGGATACGAGTAGCCCGACGCTGTACTGATTCGACGAGATTTCTATCGCGCAGAAGCACAGTGTCCCATACCGATCCAGCGAATTCAAGAATTGGCCTCACGAATGCCTTGTAAATGTAGGCGCAAGTGTTGACATCGGATCCTTTGAAAGACCTCTCCAGCATGTATAGAAGTTTCTTGGCTTTTGATGTAACGTGGTGAATATGCTCTGACCAGGAAAGACGATCGTTGACTACAACGCCCAGATCAGTGTGGCTGGAAACTGCTTCGATGTTGTGGTCAGAGATCTTGTATGTAAATCGCGGATTTGTCTTCCCGAGGTGAAGGACACAACACTTAGTTAGATTTAAGGGTAAAAGCCAACTGACTGACCAGTGATAAACAATATCAAGATCTCGTAGAAGCATAGCAGAATTTACGACAGTATTGTAAATCTTGGTGTCGCCGGCATAAGCTGAACATGTGGAGGAAATCAATGCGGGCAGGTCACTTGTATACAGAAGGAACAGTACTGGCCCCAAGACAGAGTCTTGAGGAACTCCACTTGCTACATGATTAAGGTGAGGCTGGCTATCACTGACGCGCACAGAGAAAGTCCTCCCGGTGAGAAAAGCCTTAATCCACAGTAACAACTCGCCTCTTATTCCCATACATTCCAACTTAAACAGAAGCCTTCTATGTGGTACGCGATCGAAAGCCCTAGAAAAATCTAAGTAGAATATATCAACAGGAGTCTTTGTGTCCAGATACTGAGTCCAATCGTTGAGAGAGTGGAGAAGGTTGGTCATTATTGATCGACCAGGGAGAAATCCATGCTGATCCTTAGGGATAAGGTCATTTTCGAAAGCAAATGACAGGAGCTTATCTAATATGATTCTTTCAGCTATTTTGGCGGCGATAGGAACGAGACTTATTGGTCGATAATTTTTAGCGGAGGATTTCTCGCCCTTTTTGAATACAGGGGTAACAGAAGCACTAAGCCAGCATGAGGGTAGGGTATGAGATCTAAAAGACGATGTGAATATCAAGCTTACTGGTAGGGCCAGTGCTGAAGCGCAGTTTTCAAATACAGCAGCCGTCATCCCATCTTTACCAGGGGAGGAAGAGATCTTCCGATTTCGCAGGTGCATTAATACATCTTCTACATGTGACATATCGCGAGACTGAGGCGTCCTTGAAGATCTCAAAGACCTCAATTCAAAATATTTTACATGAAGAATTAAGAGTAAGAAAATTAGTTACTCGTAGGATACCTCACCTGTTGACTGAAGAGCAGAAAGCAGCCAGGGTTAATTGATGTCAAAAAACGCTTGACCGTTTCAATTCCGGAAACTCAAAAAATGTGTACAGCATTGTTAGTGGTGATGAATCGTGGATTTACGGTTATGAACCAGAAAATAAACGACAGTCGGCTGTTTGGGTGTTCCAAGGTGAAGAAAAGCCAACAAAAGTCATCCGTTCTCGAAGTGATTCGAAAAAGATGGTCGCGAAATTTGTGTCAAAAGCGGGCCATATTGCAACAATTCCTCTTAATGAGCAAAGAAGTGTTACTGCGGATTAGTATACCACCATTTGTTTGCCAAAAGTCATCACCGAGCTTCGAAAAATCAACCCCGAAAGAAGAATCATCCTCCACCAAGACAATGCAAGCTCGCATACAGCCCAAAAAACAAGGCAGTATTTAACGGAAGAAAACGTGGAATTATTGGACCATCCTCCATATAGTCCCGATCTAAGTCCTAACGATTCCTTTACTTTCCCGAAAATTAAAAACAGACTACGTGGTCAAAGGTTCCAGTCACCAGAAGAAGCAGTTGACGCATTCAAAAATGCCGTTTTGGATCTGCCAGCAAACGAGTGGAATAAGTGCTTCGACAATTGGTTCGAGCGCATGCAGATGTGTATTAATCTTCATGGAGAATACTTCGAAAAAAAATAAAGTCATTTATAACTACCTACCGTGTTGTTTTATCTCCATATTCAAAACTTAAAAGACATCCCTCATATAGTAGTTTCCACCAGTACCAAAACCTTTCTCAGTCAGAATAAAAAAAATACCTATCATATGGCCAAACTGTCCGAACAGTGTCGGTCAAACTGAAAATATCCCTACACATGATATTCGTATCGACCCATTCGCCTAATTACCTCATTTTATTTATTCGTTATTCATGAGTCTCTCCTTGTTCCAGGTGGCATAATATCTTACAGCGCTCCTGAAGGTTCTGAGCCATCTCAAGGTCTATTCGACAGCTCCTACGATGGACTCCGATCAAATGGGTACCTGACAGAAGGACTTGGAAGGCTTGTGGATGGTGAAGTAGGCCTGTCAAACTTCAGACTAGACCTGGGCTATGGAAAAGGTCAGTTATAGTGGACCTCTTCGCACAAACAAGTATATTGGAAAGTGCCCTAAAGCGGATTCATTGACTCTGCGTTGTCAAAAACTCCATTATTTCCAAGTGTAAATAGTAGCTTAGGTATCTTCCGCGCAGTGCTGCATTTTTCTTAATCCCTATTCCCAGATATTTGCAATCCTTCATACCTATACATTTCCGTAAGTGGCAATATATTAGGACGACTCCCTCATGAAATTAGTTCATTTATATGTTTGACGATATGGCAAGCTGACAAGATTTTAAGCCAGAAACCAGAATATACTTTCCCTGAGCTCTTTGAATCCGAAGCCTTGGCCCAAATCTCTCAATTGGCTATAGTTTCCAAGATATCCCAATCTAAAAGTACAAAAATATCGATTTTTGCCTATATTATTATTATTTTTTTTTTAACTATGGACATCAGTTCAAAGTACAAGCCTTGCTCTTTTAAATACAGTGTAGTTTGTTTTGCATTTTTCTGAATTTCACTATATTTGACATTCTATCTTATGATTAGGTGTGTATCAAAGTTGTGCTTTGGAATATAATACAACAAAAATTTAATAACAAATAACAATGTACTTTAAAGAGTTAAGACAAAGCCATCCGAAAAATCCTAATCATCAACAAGTCCATAAAACTAACCTCCAAGTCACAATCGTGATATATACTAAGTGACATATAAATCCGAACACCCAGTTTAAATGGTTTTATTTTAATAAAATTTTGTATAAGTACTTAATGAAGCATAATAAGTAAATGATAAAAATTTCAAAATGATTGCACTGCTTTAAAGCCCTTTGACCTTTAATAATGTGTGGATGCACCCTGATCTGCTACGCATTCTCCAACGCGCCTAGGCATGCTTCTGATCAGGTGGTCAATGTCCTCCTGTGGTATCTCATTCCAGGCAACCACCAACTCCTCTCGAAGTGCTTCTAGAGTCTGAGGAGGACGTTGCAAATTGAGCAATCTCCTACCCATCATATCCCACACGTGCTCAATTGGGGATAAGTCGGGAGATCTTGGTGGCCATGGTAACAATGTGACATCATTATGTTGAAAGAAGTCTATTGTGACTGTTGCAACATGTGGTCGGGCATTAGCTTGTTGGAAAGTTGGATCTGCCAGGGTGTCAAGATAGGGTAGAAGATGGGGTTCTAGAACTTCGTGGATATAACGCTGCGCGTTCATGTTACCTCTGATGAAGATTAAAGGTGACCTGGAACCATAAGCTATAGCACCCCAAACCATAACTCCAACAGTGTGATGAACATGTCTTTCAACAAAAAACTGTGGATTCCTCCTTTCACCACGTCGCCTTCTAACCCTGGCACGACCATCATGCATGCCTAAACAAAATCGAGACTTGTCACTAAAGACAATACTGTTCCATTCCTGATCCCAGAGTGACCGTTGTCTGCATCACTCAAGGCGATTACGTCGGTGTTCTCGAGTTAAAGGGAGGACCCAGTGTGGCCGGTATGAAAACAAGCCAAAACTTCTCATTCGTCGGTAAACACTTCGCATGCCAATAGGTCTTCCGTGTTCTGCAAACCATTCATTTGCAATGGACCTGGTAGTGGAGAAACGGTCCCTTAAGGCCAATAATCTTAGGCGGCGATCTTCACGGTCTGTTGTTCAACGCGGCGACCAGTGCCCCTTGCTCTTTGCGTACGGCCTTCTCGAAGCCATGCCTGACAACACCTAACCACAGTGTCTACACTTCTTTGCACTCTAACTGCAATTGTCCGAAAAGAAGGTCCAGCTTCCCGAAGTCCCACTATACGGCCCCTATCAAACTCACTAAGTTGACGAAATCGTACAGGTCTCCGTACTCTAGGCATCGTAACCGATCGTAAAGGATGTCAAGAACCAAAATCCGCCAACGTTGATTCTTTATTGGGGCTGAAATATTCATTTTTAGAGCGTTAGTGAATTAAAAAAAGCAGTATAAAAACCGGAATGTCCAACTGATAAGGCTGAAAATTTTTTCACCAACTCTTATTAAAATAAAACCATTTAAACGGGGTGTTCGGATTTATATGTCTCTTAGTATATTTGGTGGTTTCCAGACCTCCAGATCAAGTCATAATAGTTATCAGAAAAATATAATTCAAATTTTAGGATTTAAAAAATCGGAAACATCTACACCCTGTGATGACCTTTTAGTTGCTATTGCCAGAAATTTCAATTTTTTCTTCGACGGAGAGACGGTCAGTGTTAAACATGTGGGGGATTCTAAATGGGAGAACTATTATATACCCTTTGGACTGCCGGAGTTCTTGAATGGCGAAATTTATTCAGACTTTTCACAGAATCATTTACCAAATTTATTGGAAGACGTGCCACTAATCATTTACAAAGACATGTGGTACCAGCAACACGACTATCCGGAGCTCTATGCCAGTTCAGTTAGAGAATACCTTGATCCGGAATACCCGATCAGTTAGATAAGGCGATTTGGTACAATTTCGTGGCCAGCCCGTTGACCTGATTTAAGTCGACTCGATTTTTTTAGTGCACCTGCCAAAACGCAAATCTTCGTAGGCCATTGAAAAATTGCAGAAAATGTATCTATAACCCAATTATGGTAAAACTGAATACATTCGCGTGATATTCAAATCAATCATGCCAATTAAATTCCAGGAGTACATCGCAACACAACAATTTATAAATGCGCATGCAAATTATTTTTTTACATACGCCCCATTGTTGCATTCTCATTGTTTACAATATGAATTTCCATCATATTCAAAAACTGAAAAAACATATACTGAAAAGCGAACAATGCATTCATCTCATGATTTCCATTGTGTGAAATCAAATACGATCTGGAACAACTTCTATGAAAAATATGTATTGCGCAGTATTTTTTCACTCAGACTTCGAGAATTACTATTTGGGACTGTGTAGTAAAATAATTTTGGTCGGGCCAACCTGATGTTTCTTGACACTTGATAGTAAAATATATTCAGATTAATAAAACTAAGAAAAATACTTCTTTTCATGGAAAGATGGGGTTGTCCAAAACGGACGCATATTAATCTGAGAACGTTCGGCACGAAAAATGGTCGGCCCGACGCAGCTCTTGCGTCAATTGGATCTTGTAGGCGTGTACATTCAAATCCTTGTGGAGAATGCGGATCAAACTGGTTCTCGAAATGCCCAATTCTTGGGATCGACGCGTTGTTGATTGTTTCGGATCGTCTCTCACACTCTCATTCACAACAGCAATATTTCCGGTGTGCGAACGCTCCTTGGCCGGCCAGAGCCTGGCAAATTTGCCACAGAACCTGTTACCTCGAATTTACGCACCAGACGACCGATGGTTGTTTCGTTTGGGCGGTTGTTGCGACCGAAATGTTCACGAAGCGCGCGAAACATGTTTTTTATTTTTGCACCATTTTTGTAGTACTCTTGAATAACTTTAATGCTGTCTTCAATCGAATACGACTCCATAGCGATCAATGGTAAACATTCAACTAACAAAATGACATGTCGGTGACAGAAAACAAAGATGGCGTCTATGTCAAATTGACGTTTACTTTCCTGCGTCCCTATTGGACAACCCATGTATAAAGGGTGTTTCAGAACTATGGGATCAAACTTGTAGGGGTTATTCAGTGTAACAGTAGAAAACATTTGAGCATATATCCGGAAAAATGTCATTACGGCCCTAAGACGCGTTAAAATTTAGAAAGACTATGAATTGCCTAAATAGGATTTGATGCATTTAATTTTTGCCTTTTTTACATGATATCATCACAACAATTGTTCAAAAGGTCTTCCTCCAGCCTGAATAACCCTTAGAAGTTTGACTCCTTAGTTCTGAAACACCCTGTATAACAGCTGAGTCGCAAAACGCCAGATAGGAATGCTTTATTAAATGAAATCCGTGCAGCAAGATAAATTAACAACAAGCATCTCTTGTAAGCTCTCAAGATGAATACTTGCGAAACTGTTACCCGTCAGGTGAAGCACATGCACACGTATGCACTTAATAGACTTGACTAAAAGATGAAGGGTAACATATATGGAAGCTTGGGAATTTATGTGGCAGCTCGATTCAAGATAGCCGCTCATCATCTATGACAGCTTCTGATGTTGACGCACGTAGTCGATCTATTTCTATCCAGTAGCAAGTGTTTTTATAGTATTTACTAGCTCAGAAGTTAGGAAATGACTATTCATATATGCGCGAATTGGGAATATTGGTATGAAATATTCTCATATCCAAGCTTGCTCGGCTAGGGTTTTCAACTTCCGGACGATCTTATTTATTAATACGCAGTATGCGCCTTATTACAACAGTAAATTACTGTTCAAGGTTCAAGGTGTCGCATCTGATCATTGAAACTATGTCCAGACATAGTGAATGACCTATCGTCAGGGAGATAAATAATCCTGAAAAATTACATTATGTCGGTTTTTGTCGCATCGAAAACCACTGATTAAAAGAAAAAGCGCCGAGACACGTCAAAAGATTTGTCAAGGGGGACAACTTTTTAACCAAAAACCACGTCAACCCCTCAAGGTCATCCCCTCAAAAATTTTAAATGTCAAGGGGTATCAAGTAATAGCTTGTTTGAAAGGTCTTACAAAGTCCTTTATTTCAGTGATAAGCGGATTGATGGTATTTTTCAACATATCCAAATAAATGTCCCCTAACAGATTTCCATTAATAAACAATTGGCCAGTCACTTTGTTTCCTAAAAACGCCTGCCCATGCTTTAATTTTTCGGGGGTACTGGGTATGCCCTTCTACAAAAGCATGAGGATTTTCATTGCTCCAATACCTGCAGTTATACGTATTAACAAATCCATTTAGATAAAATGTGCATTCATCACTGAAGCAGATATTCTTTACATGAATGATATTATCATTAATCGCTGCAGTCATTTGTTCACCAAACGCAACTCGCCTATCAAAATCTTCTTCGCTTAACTCTGGCAAAATTTTCATTTTGAATGGATGAAGTTTATGGAGTTAAGTAACTGTGTGTAAAGAGCCATAAAATACCAGTCGCAGCAACAATTTTCCTTATTAATTTATTAAGATTTATTAAAAAATGATCCAAAACTTCAACTTGAGCGGCTTCATCCACAACTCTTCGATGATCACGTTTTTTATTTGCAACAGATCCAGTTTGAGTAAATTTAGTATTAAGGTCCAAACTATACCTATTAGTTATATTCCGCGGATGTCTGGCGTTAAACGTGATGGAAGTTTGCCGAGCCATTGATTTTGAGCACAATGAATTAGAATCATTTCCACTCTTCGTCTAGTGTGTAAACCATTTTGAAAGTAAAATCTGACTCAATGAATTAATTTTCACTATCCCAAGATTGTCACAAAGGTAGCTGAGAGAAAATTGAAGTATTTCTTTCCAACAAATACCAAAACAACAAAAAATTCGGGTTCTTATTTGGTTGTTGCCACGTCTAATCTTCCGAATTACTGTTAATGTTGGTAGTTTCCGTTTTAAATTATAAACGAGTTGCAGATTTGACAGACCCTAACGGGCAATATTTAATCTCCGAGGTCGACTACTGCAGAGTTTTAATACTCGCCAAACCGGTTTTTCAAATACATGACACCTTCTTTTAACGAAGCAGCCGCGCAGGCAGGATCCCGAAGAAACTAAGATAATCCGATTTTTGATTCCTAAGGTTAGTAGAACTGGGAAAAGCCTCCTCTTGTAGGTTGATCCACAACCTCGCCACCCTAGGGACAAAGGAGCGGTTTTATCAGCCAGATCTGGATGCAGGAAGTTCGGTATGCTTAGTATGGGAGACGGAAGTCAGGAGGATAGCTTTGAGGAGCAAAGTCCATTTGTGTAACGATACAAGAGAGCTAGATCACTGACGGCCTGCCGGTGTAAAAGGGTCCCGAGACTGTCTGTTTGAAAAGGACATCAATCGGACATCCCTCCTATGGGCATCATCGAACATGAATAATGTAGTCGGGGCGACAGCACCCCAAACGTGTGCGTAATACTCGAGGCTATACCTTAACTGGGCCTTGTATACAGGGTGACTTTGAAGTTGAGTCATTAATTTTCAGATAATGATTGTAGAAGGAAGATAAACCAAAATATGTGTGTAAAAATTAAAAAAAAATAAAAAAAAAAATGTTACCTTGTTTAATAAAGTATCCTCCCGACAAGTATTTCAGTGCGGACCTGTATTTGATCGTGCGGTCTTGGAGCAGCATGACCTCACCTGTGAGGTCTTAAGTCACCTGATTCACGAGCCCTTTGCACTACATTAACAAAGGCACGAGGGGTTGGTTGCACTCGATTGGGAAACCGATTCGCATAAATCCGTGATGCATCCGGGAGCATTTTGTAAAGACTGCCCCCCCGTAAATAAGAATCATGTCCACAAGTTCAGCATTTTCGTAAACATGTGCCATTTTTAATTTCGTTTGAGCCACGCAACACACTACTATTCACTTACGCGTTATCGACTGACGAAAAACATCGTGATAAACGTTTCAAATTCTTTCGCTTTTTTGTTTCCGATGCGATGAACCGGTCAAGCGGATTATATCCGTTGTCGCCAAACACGAGCATATAATAGGCAGGGCGGTACTCAAACTTCCAAAGGGCTATAACTTTGTTACTTTAATTTTACCAGAAAAATGGTAAAGGAAAAAAACATTTCTTTTGATCAGATCTACTCACTGTTAAAATAAATGACTCAACTTCGAAGTCACCCTGTATAGTAAGAAGGACATGCGGAGAAAAGTACTTCTAAGCTCTAAACAAATAGCCCAGCTTTTCCCAACAGCTGCCGCTATTGACGAGATGTGTTCGTGCCAGATCAAGTCCTCGGTTATCTGGGCTCCGCTAGGACGCTTTTTGTTCGTCAACGTACGGTACTGTGTCTTGGGAGAATTAAACTGTACAAGATTGTTGCATCCCCAATCAGGGATAATCTCCAGGTCTCTCGTCAGAGGGTAAGTAGCTGCTAGTCTCCTTTTTGCCAGCTCACCAGCAGAGATCGGCTTTTCGCTCTGAATTCCTGCATGTAGAGTGCTGTCATCAGCAAAACTGTGGATTGGATTGATCTTACAGGAAAGGAGATCGTTGAGAAGTAAAGGAACAGTGTCGGAGCCAAGATCGATCCCTGGTGAATACCCGCGTTGATGTGGGATAAAGAGGAAAACCATTCCTTCACGACGGAAGTCAGCCACCCGTATGCTAATCTTCTCTGGGGGGCCATAGGATGGACGTTTGCATAAGAGGTCAGCATGCCACAGCTTATCGAGCGCTTTCGTGATATCAACAGCAACGAAATGAACCTAACTATAAGACTGGATGAGTTTACTCCACAATAGCGTGACGTAAGCTAGGGGGTCTGTCGCTAATCAAGCCTTGACGTTCGAGGTACTCCAGAAGCTCACGATTTATGCACCTCCCCATCAACTTACTTATAGAAAGCAGAGCTCTGGCCTATAGTTGTAAGGGTCGGTTTTAGAGTTCTTTTTGGGATAGGTTGGGCGTGAAAAAAATTTCCAGTTTTCTGCTTCGCTATGCATATTAGCATCTTCCGGGGAAGACTAAAACTGAGTGTTATTTAGCAAAACAGGTATTTGAAAAATCGGTTTAAGGAGTGATAAAATTTTATCGTAGACATACTATCTATGCCAAAGGATCCAGCATAACATATAATCCGAAGTATATTTATTACTTCTGCCCATAACTGATTTTATTTCCATTTTCCAGGTAATGGTTGGGTTTCTTGGAAGAACGACAGTATGCCCAACGGTTACGTGGAACTCCTCTTCGAATTCGATCAAGTCAGAAACTTCACAGCAGTTCATCTGTTCACAAATAATTTGTTCAGCCGAAACGTCCAGGTTAGTAAGATGTATGAAGCAGTGGTATTAAACACTCAGGATGCAGAATGTAATTAAAATCTAAAGTTAGTAGCGATAAAACACTCTTCAAGCGATGGTAGGAATCGAACTCCCGACCTTCCGTATTCTTTGTATAATTATCCACGGTAATATTGTGATGTATACCGGGTGTTTCAAATTTGACTCACTCTGTTGGATCTCGGAAACGGTAAGTGATACGAAGGTGGTTTAACGGGGACAAAGTTGCTCATTTATGTAATTAATAATAATAATAACAATAATCAGCCTTAAAAACCATTTACAGTACAATACTCTATGGAAAAATAACGATGACGTATTATGTAAAAAACAATTACAAATTCCGTAAATCAATACAAAAAAATAAAGCTATAATTTAAGAGAAACAGAGGAAATAAAATAAAAAATGAGCACGCAGTTTGCACTTCAATTTGCCTTAGCTACAAAAAATATGTCGCATACGTCGCATGATTATTAACAAGCGTTTTCGACAGCAACTTCTTTTGAGCTCTTTTGAAATTGGAAATAGAAACTGTGTCTAACTACACAAAAATCCAATATGGCGTCCATAAGAAAAAATAAAGTTGCTGATTGAGAACAAGAGAAAACGTCGTATTGAAATTCCACTAATGGCACCTTCAAGAAGAGTAAAATTGGCAATGCATATGTAATTTCATTTCATATGTAAATAAAGATGGTGTTTGTTATTTTTGGCTCTTAGGTATTATTTCATTATTTGATAATGTACTCGTAAAATGCAAACAATTAAAAAAACGGACTTACCACTAACTGTCTCAGCGCTTCACCTGGTTTGTGAAAGTTTATTGAACGTATTAAAATACTACTTATAAATAGGGAACACAATTTTAGTACATACATTGTTTTTCTTTTTAAAACCCACACTGCTTTTTTTGTATTTAAAGAAGGTATTCAAAATGTCGGCCTCCACTTTCCACACAAGCTTCATTACGACGAACCCAGTTTCTTCTTACTCTAGGTCCTCGAAGTTGTCCATTTATTATTTCAGCCGCATTAAAAATTGTTTCGCGAAGTTGTGCTTCAGTTGTTATCGGACCAGCCCCATAAACCATCCCTTTAAGTTCTCCCCAATACCAGAAATCCATCGGATTGACGTCAGGAGATCTTGCTGGCCATTTTCGAAGATCAGGAGCATTTCGACCGATCTAGCGATTTGGATAATGTTTATTCTGAATGACGCCTCTAAAAATGTGTGGTGGTGCCCCGTGATGAAGAAACCACAGATTCTGTCTCCGTTGTAATGGCATGTTGTCTAAGGTCTGTTCCAAAAGTTCTGGTAGGTTATTGGCTAGAAAGCTAAGGTATCCTTCTCCTGACAACTTTGGCCAATAACCTGATCGTCAAGAATGCCCGCCCAAATATTTATTTTAAAACGTTGTTCGAAATGACCATGAATGGTATGAGGATTTTCTTGGGCCCACGTGTGAGTATTATGGAAATTTAATATCCCGTCTCTCGTAAAAGTTCGTTCGTCCGTCGCTATAAAGTTTTTAAAAAAATCCGGATTTTCAATGTTTTTGTGCAAAAATCACCGACAGAATGTTAGTCCGCGAGGATAGTCTTCTGGTAACAAGGCCTGCCCTCGTTATACATGGTAGGGATAAAGCAAATTTTCCCATAGGATTCTATGGACTATGGTATGCGATAGTCATACGCGACCGCCTAATTCCCGAGTGATGATATCTGCATTGATTTCCACGATATTTACAATTTGTTCCTTCTGCTCTACAGTAACATGTCTTTCACAAGTGCGAATATTAGTGGGCTGAATACTTCCTGTATCTCGAAGTCTTTGGTACACTTGCACAAATGTCCTTCTGTCTGGGTGTACCCGTTAATTCTGAAAGATTGTAAATAAACACGACGAGGTACGCGAACAAAAACAAAACAACACGCCCGATGCTCTGCTCGATAAAACGATAAAGTAATTTATCTATGTAAACCGATAACTAACCACTGTTACCGTTTGCGATCGATTGCCGGTTCGATAAGAGTGATGAAAGACCGACGCGCTGTCGTCATGTGTATTTTAAATATTTAATTTAATGAAACTTATTTACTTCCTGACTACAAATTTTGGCTTAACTTAGAAAAACTTAATGCCATTTATTTGTTAATTACCCCATTTAAAAACGTTTTATATTAGATTATAAAAATTAGTAAGATTGTGGAGATTGTGGTCGATATAAATCTATTGCCTTTTGGACTTGTTTTGACCCCACAATTACCCATTTCAATAATGACTACGATAACGTTTACACCCTGTATAATATGCAGGAAGCATGAAGCAGCCCCGAAACACCGCCCTCGCCCTTAAATTGGCCTGGCCGGAGATCGTTGATTCCAATCTTACCAGTTTTTTTGTCATTACTCAGATTTTCAGCCCCTCTTTCGGTGTGTAATCTAATAAAATAACGTCGTTATAATGATTGCATTTATTCTCTAACTCCTCATAACTCAGATTTCCAACGCCATCCGGCGACTTAGCATCATAATTACCATTTTTATTGACTTTCGCGTTTTTTCTGAAGCTGATAATTAATTTCACTTTGCAGGTGTTTTCGAAGGCAAAAGTTATGTTCAGCATATCAGGTGAATACTTCAACGGACCTATACTTTCGTTCACACATGTACCTGATCGAGAGTCAGAAAGCGCTAGGAACGTGACCATCGACCTTCATCAGAAGCTCGCTAAGTTCATCAAAATGAGGTTATATTTTGCTGATCGGAGGATCATGATCAGTGAAGTGGTCTTCGAGTCTGGTAAGTTATTAGAAATGTTAAGATCCGGAATCCATTAAATAGACAGCTTTCTATGAAATGAGAGGCATCAAGTAATTTGACAAGACAGTGTTGAAAGTTGACTAGAAAATATAGATGTCTTGAAACGCCTCCCAGACATACAATATTAGCAATTTTATCTCAAATTTCCAAATGTAGAACTATGGGCCTATTTGACTGACGTGATCGACTTACTTTTCTTCTTATACATACTCGTATCTAACTTTTTCTCAGATGACAATGTCGTGTGAGAATCGCAGAGTCAACCTACTAGACGCCACTTTTTCCATTCACATTCGCCAAAATTATAACTAGCTTTATTTAAAATTACTGTGGCTACACTAGCTCCGTACCAATTTATCAATAGTTGTATGAAATATACGCAGAGCAAAATACATGTATCGAGACAATACACATTTACATATCTGCGACTCAAAAAAGGTAAACTAGGAAAGCTCGCAGTAGCTCGTTCCAAAATAAGATAAGCTGGATCGCCTCCAGACAAATGTATCCATAAATTTTCCATGGATAGCATTGTGGAACTTTATTGGTAAACATAAATGTTGTATGACGTACGTAATCAAGCCCCATGAGCTTTCCACCCTAACCTGTAGGTATGCATAAAAAGTTCGATCTGATATATATTCGTTTGAATTATACAAAGACTTAATGTAAGATTTGATAAAAATAGGTAAATGTTTTCTAATTCAATGTTAATATTTAAAGGGGCAATTGGTAGGTCCATTTTAAAAAGAAAACTTCAAATGAACGAATGTCCTGAACGTATTAACTCTTAACATATAGAGTGGTAAAGTTTTCAAAAATAAATCATTTCAAAATTTAGCATACAAGAGGCAGTTTTAACGTATCTGCCCATTTTGGCAGACATTGATGGTACGCCACTGAATTCTCTTAAAATAAAAATTATCTTTGAAATCCCTAATTATTTCTATGCCAAGATCGCTCGATTGTTGTCAATCCGCTGCACGACTTAAAAAAATAAAAATTGTCTTTTTGTAAGTCCATAAGGATATCGTTAATATTGTAATGAAAACACCGTATTGATTGCCCAAAGTCTAATTATTTACTCTTCACTAATTTCTAACACTTGCAATTAATTTATGACATACATCTTCATAACCATATCGACTGGACTATATTGACGCGTCGGTCATAGGCCAATTCAGAAGCTCTCCAGAATATTCGCGCGATATTTCTCGAACGCTACGGATAGCAAACGAGAACCTTCTCGCACGTGAACACGATCGCTCTCGAAGCTTCGCAGGCTGCGATACATGAGGGTGTAACTCTGGTTGCCTAAAAGGCCAAATCTGCTCATAAATTAATACCGATACCATCTTTTATTTTAAGAAATGTCAGTGGCATACCACTCTGTATCATCTCAAAAGTTCTCAACACGTATAGGACAAACGTTCATTTGAAGTCTTCTTCTTAAAATGAATCCAATAATCGTCCGCTTAAATATTGACATTCAATTGTATACCTGCTCAAGTTTAATACGGTGAGTTTGCTGAAACATTTGAATTGTTTTACGAAATGAAATAATAATATAAAACATCGATACCACCAAAACCACAGATGTAGGAACTTGGAAGTGGAACACTTCGGAAACGGTGGACCGTCATCAAAGTTTGTTATGTTTTGATGTCACTCAATTTTGATATAAATAATTTCATAAAAATATTATTGATTGGTTTGTTAAGAAAACTGAAAAATACGAGAAGACATATGTCTAGTCAAAGCCCAAATGTATGGATTATCCAGGAACAAAAGCTAGTTTTTGCTCAAACCTCAAAGAATCATATTTCAATATAATGCAATATAATGCCTTGAAAATATACAAATTCCAAATAATTCTATAAATTATAACTAAACGCAAATAGTACCTTAACGGAAGACGAACCAGTTCTGTAGTGAGCACTTTTGTTTAATTTCGCTTTCAATACTCCCATGTAGAACTGCACCATCGGTTACTCGAAAAGTTGACATTAGATAATTATGAAAACATGGAGCTATGGTAAAACCTTTGTGAGGAGTTTGCCTAAGATATTTTCAATATGATAGCATTCGAGTTGTAGAAAAATCAAATTCTGTGTAAAAAATCACAAATGCTGGTCCATAAATATCTATAAATTTGTCATATATCTTTGTCTTTGTCGAACGATTTGCAATTGCTTTCTTATAGAGAGGAGTCTACTTTGGTGGATAGTACATATTTTCGTAATTGATAATACAATGGTGTTCAGAACAATCAGATGGAAATTAAATTGTAAAATATATAAAAAGTCCATTATTTCAAATAGAAACCTGTACTTTTTATAATCTCATGAGCTTAAGCAAAAAATATGCGTCTTCGCAAATCTCGTATTTTAGGAAGTATTTGTAAACATTCGTTTTCGATTTTTCGATATGGTTTTTTTATTTAACGGAGTTGTGTAGTATTTCAAAAATAATGTAGATATTTGATAATATGTAGATAATGAACAAATAATTAATAATGCACCACAGGCCGAATCTGTGAATCAAAAGCATATGCAAAACACTCCGTATACTTGCCACAACTATTATCTCATAAATATGATTCAAATCTGAATCAACCACTACCGGTACTGAGACCAAAATTCACAATTCGATTGCAGAATTGCACGTAAAATTAAATAGACCTTTAACAGTGACGGCGACGACCGTCTCATTAAAATAACAACTCTAAAACTTCAGTACTAGTAGCTCTACTACTAACAAGACAGAGACCAATCTTACAATATCCCTGAGGAGCTCAGTCTTCAGCTGGCTCTGCTACTGACGAGACAGAGACCATAATAACAGTATCCCTGAAGACCTCGGCCTTCAGCTGGCTCTGCTACTGACGAGACAGAGACCATAATAACAGTATCCCTGAAGACCTCAGCCTTCAGCTGGTTCTGCTGCTGACGAAACAGAGACTATAATAACAGTATCCCTGAAGATCTCAGCCTTCAGCTGGCTCTGCTACTGACGAGACAGAGACCATAATAACAGTATCCCTGAAGACCTCAGCCTTCAGCTGGCTCTGCTGCTGACGAGACAGAGACCATGTTACAATACCCCTGAAGACCGCAGCCTTCAGCTGGCTCTACTACTGACGAGACAGAGGACCAGGTTGCAGTTTCCATGGAGATCTCGACCTCCATTTGGCTCTACTTCTGACGAGATCAAAACCAACATTAAGCAAGACAGCACATCGCAGAATGGAACCAGAAATTTACTGACGTGAATCTTCCTCAGCCTCCAAAAACCCAAGTATATCTCCCATATCAACTTTGGAGGACCACTGTACAGGCCATGATCTTAGCTGTTCCTTAGCTGCCTTTGTTATGATGGTGGTTCCAACCGTCTTAATCTCATAACGTCCATTTTCCAAGCATTTAACCACTTCATAAGGACCAAGAAACTCATAGTCGCTCTTACTTATGTGCATCTGAGAGTCCCGGTGCATCAGTATAAAATCACCGACTGAAAATTGCACTTTGTCCTTTTTTTTCTGTTCACAGTGTTGTAATTTTGTGCGACGAATAGCCTTTTCGCTAATCGCTGTCGATCCAAATCTCGGTTGCACAAAGGAGTTAGATCCTTAGACACATCCTTCAACACAGCTTGTATCATCGGAGTCAAGCTTCGGATACCCAAAAGCAGCTGCAAAGGAGTTGCATTTATGAATTTTTGCATAGTCGAGTTGAGAACAAGGTCGATCTTCCATCGTCCGTTCGGCCATCCTGTCCTTATTTGGGTTTCAACTCTCATAAGATTTCTAATCGTTCGCATATAGCGTTTCACCTGCCCATTTCCCCTATGCACATCTGGAGTTACAAAATGGTAATCGATGCCCCATCGATCCAGGTACTTTGGAAATGTGGTGTTCTTAAATGACGTGACAGTGTCCATTATTATTCGTTTGGGAGTTCCAAACACAGCGCTAGAACATTCTGCAGCTTTTCACGCGCCTCTGCAGTTGTCACAGACTTCATAGGCGTCAAAATGCAGTACTTGCTATCCACCACTACCAAAACGTGCTTATAACCATCAGTTGAAGCTGGTAAAGGACCCAAACAGTCCATGTGCAACGTATGAAATGGCTCCTTCGGTATGTCCACTGGTAGTATGAACCCCTGTAGAGGACCTGTTCTTGTCTTTTTTACTGCATGAATTACACAGTGCTTGGCGTAGCATTTGATGAAGTTTCTCATCCTCGGAAACCAAAAATGTTGATCGATAGACGACATTATTCACTGCACCAACTTGATTGCCTGCTGTAATCATGTCACTAAAATCTTGCAGTATAACTTCAAGACCCTCGCGATGTTCTTCAGGTACTTCAACTTCTGTGACTAAAGCACCAAAATCTTCTGAAACGCGATTTATGCCTGTCAGCTGACATCGCACAACGCGTGATTCTTGATGATCTGTTACGGTGGCGAGACTTTCATCTTCAAAAATATTCCTCCACACCAAAAAATCATAATCGAGACACTCACGAGAAACAAAAATAAAACACATCGGAATATAAACACCAGAAATTTTCGCACAAGCCGTAAACTTCTTTGTAGCTATAGATCTGGTACAAATTCTGGGTAAATCATTGGACTCTGTTGGTATTTCATTTCAGACATTTGTCAAATTGTTGTATAACACCTGCAGGCAACACCAAAATATTCTAATAAACTGAAGACAACATGGACGATGCCATGATTATGCACAACCACCAGCCATATTGCGCAAACATTTATTCCTCTATTTAATATTAAATAATTATGTTTCAGTTCGAAATTACAGATATAAAGTGATAAACATTAGTGTAATTGTGTATAAATATAGGATTTGTGGAATATTTGACGCAGATAAGTTCAGTTTTCCATCTTAAAAATCTAGACATACTTTTGATCATTATCAAAATATGCATGAAATAAGAAGCCCGTAGAAATTGCGTAACTACTTCGCACGATAATCACGATTAAATTTGCTGCGCAAGTAATTCAATAGCCCTATATCACAGTGTAGAGGTTTATCATATGTTTATCAAGATGACTGTAATGTGTTAGTTATATATTCTTCACTTCGTCTATGCAATATATAAGAAATAGTTTGGTCGCAATAAAGTAGAATCACGTAACAGAATAGTTGTATAGTTGACAAAAACTGAATTTGCACTGACGCAAATGTCCTATAGCGGCTGCAAGGGGCTTACACTGTTGTTGTATAAATGTTACCTGCAGCCCTTACACAACCTCTTAAATGACTGAAGTGTCCTATTAGGTGTGCCCATTCCGCTTGTATAGCTGTTCTAAGAGGGTTTTGCCAATGTTCTTACAGTATACAATGCTGTGTAAGGAATACTGTATAATCATTTTTGCAACTCTAATAGGAGTGATAATTGTTAGTTGGGCCTCTAGTTCAGAGATTCCATAAACAGTGAGTTCGACCAAATCACTTTCGCACCAATTTGCACGTAAATTTTCAAGCATAGATGATTTCTCATGCACGTAACATTCATATGTGTTGACAAAAGAACTGTTAAATGTTGCTACCTCCTCCAACAAACGACCCAAATTTCTTTTAGGAGGAAACGCCTCAGCAAAGTCAACTCGAAAAGTTGCCCAATCCCTGTTGTATGGGTTCCAGCGTTCGAACCATCTCTTTGCACCTCTCAATAAAAATCGGCCAATCCTTGCCAGAGTATGAACGTCAGACCATCCAACTTCACGCTTAATGACTTCAATTTGAGTAACCCATTTACTGGATTCGTTTATTTCGGGTCTAAAATAGTGCAAATCTACCGGTTTTGCCGACCTTTGGGACTGCTTGCCTTTACCAATTCTGCTACCAGCGACTGGGTGTGGTCTTCGTCTGTTGAAGCCATCGTTAAATTGAGTTTCCTTATCAGGAATACCAGGACCTGATCCAAACACACAACGCAGCAGTCTTTTTTTAAACTATGACGCAGTAATCACCACGATGTACCGTTATCCTTTGATCTCACAAGACAAAGAAAACGTCAATGTTTTCAAAACAAATCGCAATCCACTGTGGTTGTTTAGGCACAATCCCGCTTCTGATGTTAGAAACACGGATAGTCAAACACTAATTTTCCACCAATCAACTTGTATTACAAACAATAATAATGCCACAACGATTTAACGTAATTTCGGAGCGGCAGATTATCCGAGCACGATGTGCACTACTCGACGTTACAGCTCGCTCTGCCAGAGTCGGCGGCCGATCGTCGTTCCCTCAGCTACCACAGCGGCTCGCCAAAATTTTTCGTTTCTTACAATATGGAGATCAGTATTTACCACGAAACGTGCTACTTACTTAGCCTAGCGTATAAGACGTTAGTACCTATATATTGAAGTATAAGGTTAGTAGAAAGTCGTTAACAGTGATGGAATGATCAGTAAATACTGATTGTGCGGTCCACAGTAAATACTGATCGTGTGATGTTTGCCATGAGCTTTTATGGATCTGCTTTTATAATTTTTTACGCTGAATTTGATATTTCTCAAAAACGGTTGAAGTTAGGTATAGGATATAGGAAATATGTTTAGAATCTTCCGTAGACGTAGAAAAATTCCATTCTGTTTAATATTGCCACCACTTTAAAAATATTTAAGACCTCCTCAGTTTTACCATGATTCCAGGTTTTCATATTTGGATAGCATGTTCTGCTTCTTCGATGAGAATAATTAGTCCTTGCCTTATTATGTGGAGATGGGAGGGGGGTTCAATCAGATTATTTGAGCTCAAAAGGTGAGAGTGCGAGGTAAGCATACCCGCTTCCGTCTTTGTACTCGTAAAAATAACGGTAAAGCGTCTCATACAATTGAGCGACGTGTTGTATCACTATTAGGGATCTGCAGCACCCTTGAGTCCTCTAGACAATCACACTGCTGTTTGAAGTGATACAGCGACGAAACCTACGACAACCATCGAAAAAGTGAGATCAAGTTGACTGACTCGGAATTTTCCACGCATATTATAGTGTAAGCGGAGCCGATGAAGCTGAACTTTTAAAAATTCCTCTTTCGCTACGTTGAAATGTGATTTTAATGTTAAGAAAATATTATACCGATTTAGAAGCATCACTAGGAACGCCAGAACTTCAAAACGTTTAACTAGTTGCCTTGAATCTGCTCTTATATGATCTGGAACCAAAAGAAATCAAGAAGCCCAAAAATTTAAACATAAACAAAAAATTTTGACAGAAGATTTGTGAATTGACGAGTTAGTTTCAAGAATTGTCTCGAATTTATCAACATTATAACCTGATACCAAATGAGATATAAAAATACAGGGTGTTTCACAACTTATCCGACAAATTCTAACCACATATGCACTGTTACGAAATAAGTTGATTTCTCGGAAAAAAATGTAATAAAAGTCTTACAGAAATTAAGTTATAAACCTGAGTTTCAATAATAAATTGAAAAATAAATATCTGTATTTTGCGTTCACCGTTGTGATATTAGAACACGCATTAATAATTTATTGTAGCAAAAGTTGTACCAAACAACTGACGAAAAAAATACCAGGAATGTTTTGTTTTTTCATACTGATAAGAACGTGTAAATAAGGTTTAATCTGCATCGTGGATGATCTGAATGAAGAACGTCGATTTTTCTGAAGTTAAATAAGAAAGTATTATGAGAGTTTACGTGTTTAGTTATTTATTAATAAAAATGGTACATGTGTACGCTAATGAGGAGTTAGTGGACATTGTTTTAGCGTACGGACAAGCAGGGCAAAATTCACAAGCGGCTTCTCGCTTGTATTCACACCGATTTCCGAATAGACACATACCACACCACGAAACATTAGCTCAATTGTTTTAGGTGCACGTGCTAGTGGAGATTTGCGTCCCAGACGTGGAGTGGATGGTGGTCGGGTTCGCCCACAACGTCTTCTAAATGCCTAAGACAAAATTTTAGATATTGTGAAAGAAAATCCGGGAATAAGCACAACGCAGTTAGCCCAACAGGTCCCAGTAGTGTCACATGCAACAGCGCGGCGCATATTACATATTACTTTATTATCTCGATTTCTGTGGGACTTTTAATAAATTTTTTTTTCTCTGAGAAATCTACTTCTTTCGTAACAATGCATATGTGGTTAAAATGTGTCGAATAAGTTGTGAAATACCCTGTATCTGATTATCTTTGTCACAGTATTTGCAGAAGCTATTTAATTTCTTATTGCAGAACCTACTGGGACGAACTCAACAGAAGAAGACAACAACGCTATCGAAGAAAAGGAACTGATTATTACTTCTGGAGGAGACAAAGCTCTGGAAGCTTTCGAAACGAGTAAGTCGATCCTAAGCATTACCAAAACATGTGGCATTAATTGTAATTCTTCAGACTACCTAGTTCTCGATCTATTTGTAGTTTAACAATTTTCGAAAAACTGCCGTTTTTCGGAGATACACGACGATTAAAATTATAGTTGTATTACCAAGAATCACATGTAATGCTTCCCAATTTTCAGAAAATATTTAAAATGGCTACTTCCATGTAAAATTAAGAGCTCCAATCTTCTCATACGTCGCCAAACTCTTTCAAATACACCAGAGTCGCTTCTTATTTATTTAAATATTCAAGTCAAATAATTATCAAATTCTCCGCACGAACTGTATGAACTGATAACTGATATTTACATAGATAATATCCTAAATGATTTAAATCCGGTGATATAGCAGCCCGTAAGCTGAGTCTTCGTCCACCTGTCCTACTATTTCCGTGTATTCCTGTTAAAAATTCACGAGAAAGCAAACTAAAGTTGCCGGTTTTAACTCAATAAGAAATCTCTCTGGTTTTTTAAGCTTAAGAATAAGAGGCAATTTTTAGTATACAATACAAAATATTGTCCATTCGCGTTTTTTGCACCATATTAAGAAACATGTTGCACGATTCTCAAAAAAGATTCGAATCCCTCAAAAGTTTCACTTGGAACGTGTACTTTATTTATTTGGTATACGGTGTGTTAGGGAAATAATATCCGTAACTTTAAAAGGTGATTCCTTGCATTATTCTAAGCAAAAAAGTTCATTATAACATATGTCCGAAAATCAATCGTTTTCGAGGAAAGTCGTAAAAAATCAAATGTTCTCCAAACATTTGGCAACGCTGCAACGCAACCGCGATATGAGCGCGCGACGACCGCAACTGATTCATCGAATTTTTTACGTTTGTATAATATTTTTGTTGAAAATATGCCTTGTATTATTGAATACTTTTACGCATTTTTTTGTGGTTAATATTTCTTATCTAATAACGCTTTCAGTACAGCACATTTACTTAAAAAAATTACAGAACTTACCGGTACGTAGCGATACACACCACTAATTCCCACGATTATCAGTCACTTATTTGAAACGATGCGATGCACGAAACAAGGAAAAAAACAACATCCGTAAATCACAAATCACATAAAGTTACAGTTAAATGTATTAGTAATCACAACAACACGCGATGATACATGCAGTGCAGGCGGAGTACGGCGTTGCCAGTTGTGTGAGGATTTTGTTTGTCTGTTTTTCTTCGGAAAATTGTATTTAATAATCAAGAAAATTATTTTGTTAGAGGCAGTTAATTAATAAATAGATTTTACGCTATTAGGCATATGAATTTAAATTATTAAGATGCAAAATTAATTTATTTCATGACTAAAAAGAAATAAGTTCTGAATTTGTTTGCTCCGACATAGGTTATAATTAACTTTTTTGCTTAGAATAATGCAGAGAATCACCTCTTAAAGTTATGAATATTATTTCCCTAACACATTGTATACACGGTAAGATCTGCAAATAATACAATAAAAACATACATAACATTAAATCTAAAGGACTGGAGCTATGAAAGACAGTGTCAGGTGCTTATAAATATCTTATTCTTGATTTAAAGGCTTCAAATCTATGACGAAATAAATCAACTACAATATAATTGTAGTCATAATTTTACAGCGTTCGTGTTCATACTGTAATCGAGTAATTTTCCACTTCCAATGGATCTAGCGTTTCTCCAGTATAAATGAGGATTTATTACAATACTTTCTGCCATCCATGCGATTTGCTGAATATGAATAACGATATCCTAACACTTAATTCCTTTCATTAAATTTCAGTTGCAGCTCGGAAAAGCGGCGACACCTACGTCGAGGTGATTATCGGCGTGCTCACCGCGATCGTGCTGCTGCTCTTGATCGTGTTCGTGGTTATTCTCATCGTTAACAAGAGGCATAAGCTGCAAGGATCGCCCACGCTGCTCAGGAATCCGTTCGGGGTGACTATCAATATGAAGGTAGGTGTTAAAAATATCAGTATGCGACACAATGCATCAATGTAATATAAAGGTCGTTCAGAAGGTCGATGCAAACTGTCTGCCTTGTGCATCTATATACACGGTGTCCAATGGGAAAGTGCACATTTCAAATTTGAATTTCGCGGCAACCGTATACGCCTGGAAGTGGGGAGAGGTCTTGATCGACGCGTTCGGCGTGCGGGTTAAATAGTCACAGTTGAACGTTGGACCGGAGCGCAATTTTGTACACGATACAAGATTCGCTGACCAAGAGTTGCCCCAAGCTAGAACCTATTGAAAAAGTGGATTAAAGGGTTTCGTGAAACAGGCTCTACTCTTAGTCAACCCATTCCTGGCCCCACACCTACTCCATCAACCGAAAAAAATGTGCATCGATTAAGTAATTTGGTCATTGCAAATCCTCGGCGTTCTTTACGGAAGCATTCCGCTGCTTTGGAAATTCCTAGGCAACACTGCATGGCGTAATGAAGAAAAACCTGGGTTGTCATCCTTATAAAATCCAATCAGTCTATGCTTTAAAGGAAAGTGATTGCGTATTAAGGAAATCTTGTGCTGAATGGACGTTGAACCTTTTTCCTACGCAGCGCAGATTCGAGAACGTCGTTTTTAGTGACGAGCACCGTTTGCACTTAGACGGTTATGTAAATAAGCAAAAATTGCAGATATTGGGAACCAACGAACCCAGAAGAGAAACATCAATCACAGCGACATGGTCCAAAGGTGACTGTTTGGTGCGCCATATCCTCTAGCCCTCTAGCGGTATTATTGGGCCGTATTTCTTTGAAGATGAAAACGGTCATGCCTTGACAGACATTTCCGAGCTAAACAAGTACATGATTGACACCTTTTTTGCTCCTATTGTAAGAACATAACGTCGATTTAACAGAAACACGTGGTTTCAACAGGATGGGGCCACTGCCCGTACTTCCAGAGAATCAATGGACACGGTGAAAGCACTTTATCCTCAAAAAGTTATATCGAAGTTAAGAGACATTCACTGGCCTCCTAGGTCACCCGACCTCACGCCATCAGATTATTTTTTGTTTAGTTATCTAAAGTCGAAAGTGTATTCCAACAATCCATGAATACTGGAGGAGCTTAAATACAACATTCGACGAGAAATAAACAACAGAGTGTTTCAGAATTTGCGCCCGCGATTAGATGAGTGGTTCTGAAAGGTAGCAAACATTTGGATGGAATGATATTATTTGAGAAATAAAACCCGCCAAATTTACGAATATGTTGATATTAATAAATATGTTATTTTCATTAAGTGTGTGTTTTTTTTTTCTTAAATTAAAAACTGAACTTCCCCACTGGACACTGTATACATAACATTCAGTCAAACACCCTTCATTTCTGGTATCTACTTTAATAGTTCTTTTTGGTTATGTCAATGGATAGATTGTCAATCGGGTGCTTAAGGCACTATCGTACCAATATTCTGTTTGAAAATCCACCTCCCGTCATGTGTACCAAAACACGTTTGTGTTCCGACGTTATTTAATTTTATCTTAAAGTTTGTTTATTTTTTTATGGTTTTTTTCTTTTACAAGACATTGAAATATGATGTTAAACTATAAAGCTAAACTAATATTGATATCAACGCAATATTTGGCTTCTGCATGAATCTTCGGACGAGCCATTTCAATAGCTCGTTACGTTTTAACAAGAATCCCACATATTTTGTAATTTTATTGGTGAATCAGGATTACCTATTAATCATGGACCATTTGACAAAAATTGTGAAATATATAAAAGGAAAATTGAACGTGAGAGGGAAAAAATTAATTATGCAAATGAATAGCAACTACTAAGCTCAGATTTGCAAGACGTGGCTAAATCTGTAAGTGATGAATATAACTCAATATACCATTTAAACATACAAGGAGTCCTGAATAATATAGATGAAGTTCAACAGTTTTTAAGATGGAGAAAACCACTTGTATTATGTCTTACCGAAACACATGCTACAGAAGACATCACTGATGGTGAATTACAAATTACTAATTATAAAACCTACAGATGCAACTCCAACTCCAGACATACTGGAGGTGTAGTGATTTATGTTTACCACAAAATACAGATCACATTATTCGATTGTACCACTTTAGACTATGCATACTGGTATGCACATATACAGTTCAAATTATTTGGGAAACGTTATGATCTTTGTACTTTTTACCGTTCACCAAACAGTGATGCAGATACATTTTTAACGTTTTTTGAAGAAAAATGCGAAGAAATGTGGAATTTTAGAAACAATATAATACTTTTAGGTGATTTAAATTTAAATTATTATGGTAAAAGCATGAAAACAAGAAAATTGAAAGAAACCATAAACAACTATGGGTTCAAGCAAAAAATTGAAGAGAGTACCAGTTAACATCATTATCAGAGACTTTGTTAGATCTTGTTATTGTAAATTTCGAATGTGCAGGGATTAATGCTGTACATACACCTAAAGTTAGCGATCACAGTTGGACAATGCTGCCCTTGGTAGGGCATTTTTCTGATACAAAAATTAAGAAAATCGTAAATACTATTAAGTACGAAAAACTTGAACGAGAACTTGCTGGCTGCTATTGGAATTTTGGTGAGAATATAGAAAAAATATATGACAACATAATAGGAAATATAAAAACTTGTTTGGATCTTGCAACTGATAAAAAAGTGATTTGCTCGACAAAAAATACACCCTGGTATAACAAGAATATTAAGGCAGCTCAAAATTTGAGAGACAAACAATACAATAAATGTATATTCACAAAATCAAATGATGATTGGGAATAAAGGAATAAATGTGTAAATGTAATTAGAGAAGAAAAAGAAAATTCTACGATAAACAAATCGATAATAACAAGTGCGACAGTGTAAAGATGTGGAAGACTTTAAAAAGACTGATCAATTCGAAGCCGCATGATTGTGTAAATCAAGTTCAATTCGAAAACGGTACCAAAACAAATTCTTTGGTGATTGCAAACAAACTAAATGAATATTTTGTGGAAAGTATTGTTGATATTGTAGGTACTGCCAATGCTGCACCTGACTATATGAAAATCAGTTTCCAGGGGGAAATGTTGCATACACTTTCAAAATTTCGCAGCGTATCATTGAATTATCTAAGAAAAAAAGTAAACAGTTTAAAATCAAATAACAACTGTGCCGAAATGACTACTAAAAACGTGCTGAAAAACTGTTTAGAAATTTTGGGATATCCTGTATTAAATTGGATCAATTGTTCACTGAGAAGCAGTTCTTTCCCTGAAAATTTGAAATGCTCTACAATAACACCAGTTCCCAAAATAAAAAATTCTAAAAGATGCAGCGATATGAGACCAGTAAATGTGTTACCAGACATTGAAAAATTATTAGAGTCCATAGTGCATGACCAATTAATGCAGTTTATAGAAGAAAACAAAATTTTAGTGGAGGCGCAAGCAGGCTTTCGAAAAAAATATTCCACAGAAACAGCTTTCCAGTTGGTAACTGAGAATTGGAGAAGAGCCATAGACTCAGAAGAAGTTGTTGAAGTAGTATTTTTGGATTTGAAGAGGGCATTTGAAACGATTGATAGAGATATTTTGTTAGGTAAATTGAAGGCATATGGTATAACAGGAAGTGTTTTAGATTGGTTTAGAAATTATTTGTCTAAAAGGATGCAAGTTACAAAAGTTAATGACACTATTTCATCAAAAATTGAAAATACGTTCTTTTTATTTTATACATAAATGATTTACCTGCCATAGTCAAAAAATGCAAAATTCAAATTTTTGCCGATGACACTATGATTTATATAAGTACTAAAAATATTCAGTCTGGTATCTCTTATATAAATGAAGACTTGAAGCTTGTCTCAAAATGGTTAGCATCTAACAGACTAAAATTAAATGCAAGTAAAACGAAAGCCTTGTTAATCGGAAAAAAACGATGTACAAATGTTCAACTGAACATTGATGGTGAATATATTGAATTCGTAGAAAATTTTAAATACCTGGGATTTTTGTTGACTCTCGATTAATTTTTGATATACATTATGAAAAAGTAATAAATAAGATTAGTAGTAAAGTGGGATATTTATCGAGAGTTTCTGGATGTCTGAGTTCATATAGCAGAAAAATTATCTATAATACCATCATTCTTCCAAATTTCTTGTACTGTTCGACTATTCTATATTTAGCAAATAATTCCATTTTTGAAAGACTGCAAATTTTACAAAATAAGAGCATGAGAATAATACTAAATAAAGATAAATATACTCCAATTAGGCAAATGCTTAGCAAATTAAAATGGCTCAATGTAAAAAAATTTATCAAATATCTTGTAATGATACTCATTTATAAAGTAAAAAATAATATATTTCCATCAAGTCTAACTAATTTAACATCATCAAATGTCGACCATCATTTACATAATACCAGAAATAAAGATGACTTCCATTTAATGACCAAAAAGTATAACATATGCTACAAATCTGTATTCCATCAAGGGTTGATTGAATATAATAAATTATACTCGGAGATAAAAGACCTGAAAACTTTGACAAAATTTAAAGTAAAATTGAGAAATCACTTGTTAAATCTACAATTATAGGTTGCCCAGCATTTACATCATACACCATATGGCTTGAATTTACTAGTTCTAAGTTGTTTACAATTGTTCTGTTTATGTAGCCAAATGTGCTAAATAAATCTTTCTACTACTACTACTACTAGAAATGTTTCATTGTGGATCATTTTGTGCCAGGACTACTGAAAGACCAGTCAAGAACGGAAATATTATTACCCTGGAACCGTTTTTTCGTGGTCATGACGCCTCATCTTGTTGAAAAATAAAGTTTCTATCAGGTGATAGAATTAAAATTGAGACTAGCAAATTGGTTTCAAGGAGAAGCAAACATGTTTTCCATTCCATTTAACCTGATGGAAACTTTACTTTTCTCGTTAGGCAGTCCTATTGAAACGCTTCATTTTTGTTTATTTTAACCCGGGACCGGTGGTGACCTGGTCACCCATACAAAAATGATCTTAGCCCACACTAATCATTATTTTGTTTTCAAGAGATATTTGCATTCTAGGACTGATTTGCGTGGCCTACCAACACCGTGTCTTGAAACTTGAGTTGAACCTGAGTCTCCATATTTTTTACAATATCTGCCACCATAGAATTTGCGACATTTATTTGTTTAGCAATATCCCGAAAACTCTTTCCTTGATGAAACAGTTTTATGAATAAAGCTCTGGTTGCACCGTTTATTGTTTTACCACGCGACATTTTAAAGCAAATTGATTCACAGAATTGATTGTTAAAACAAAACGTCAAATGGTAAATACTTTTTTTGTTTCCATGGCGTGCCATTATTTTCTTTTTCATATCCTGTCCGAAGATTTATGTCAGCAAAAGGTTGCGTTGTTATCAATATTAGTTTGATTTTATATTTTAATACCTGAAATCAATTTTGTTAATATGATGTGCAAACAATATTTCATTGTCTTATAAAAGAAAGACAATTAATTTTTAACCTTATAAAAATAAACAAACTTTTAGATAAAATTAGATAATGTCTGAACATTTTTGTTAGGGTTCGTAATAATCTACCGGCTGATCACCGAAGGTCAACCAATATCTGTCATTTAAAAAAGCAACTGAGAAAATATCTTTTTGACAAGTGCCCATATACCCTAACTGAATATTTTACAATATAACGTCACCATAGCGTAATTTCTGTACTTTTACTTAATTTTCACGTCTGGTTAAGTGCTGTTTTAATTTGTCGTAGTTATATAGGTATAGCTACTATTTATTTAATTTCTCCACATTGTTTTAAAGGCTCATTGGATGTATATATCTTAAATTTCAACGGTTGTTTTTAAATACATATATATGACTTTGTTCATACGTACATGTATGCAAGTATGTGCAGGAAATGTATACTGAGTTAGTTACTTACTATAGTTTTCAGCTTTGACTTATCCCATATCATGCGTAGCCACGATCATCTGTAAAATGTCTATCTATTTGTCATCCAAACTATGTTAACATAGTAACGGTGTTTTGTAACGCTACGCATTCATCATCTGTATAACTTCAAATGTTTCTTCAGATTTTAGGAAAAAAGATCAGAAGCCTTTTAAGCGCCAAGAAAACGAAGTTTAAGTGTTTTTTTGCATTTTTTGATATTAGCTGGCCGCCACTGGACCGATTTTTTAAAACATTTTTATCCTTGGCCTAGTAGTAACCTTGTGTGAAAATTTCGTCAAAATCCGAGCAGTACTTTCCAAGTTATAGACGGACCAAGGATGAGCGGGCAAACAGAGATACCGATAGACCGAAAAACATGTTTTTTCTGCTGTAGATTTCATATAACATCCTAAAAAAGATAATGTTGTTTTCGAAATGTTTTTCTAAGTCACTTATGTCGAATTTGGTGACCGAGGAGTGAGACCATGGCTTCGTCGATCCGAATGCGACATCTGAATGTTGCTAATATTGCTATCATATTCAATGTGAAAGTTTTGACTCGCAATGCATTGCTTGTTAGTACATGGAATATAAAAGTTGCACAATTTTCTCAGTAGATTCTTACTCATTCTGTCTACAACTTATGTATTTTAATTTTCAGGATCTTTTGATGAACTTCTCTAGCAGTAACCAGCAACCATCAGTTGTGAGCAGGCCAGTAACACCAGCCAGTCAGCAGGGAACTACAGGCCCTGGTGACAGAAACTCACAGGTAAAACTTAAAGCCTTTTTTGTGTTACTTAAATACACTTGATCGATCTTGTCTTTCCTCATTACATGTTTGTCTTGAATTGGGTAATATGGGGTCGAAGAACAAACAGAAAAAAAATCTGCAAAATTTTAAAGATCCTAATTTTTTATCGTATCTTGCTTTGCGACATCGCAGCATATACGGCTAATGTAAAATAAACTCCATAGGGTCGAATCGTCTACTTCTTCATTAGTTTAGAGTAGCTGATTTTATCTAGCCTCAAGTTACCTCAAAAGGACCCCAATAGGATCTGAGTGCCGTGATTATTGTTGATTAAATGCAATACAAAATTCAGTATTAAATGTATTTGTTTGAGTTTAAAAACTGATATTGCTTTCTGCCTATTTCAGATATCATTCGAGCAGTACCGGTCCCCTTTAGTAACAGCCTACTATACTCCAAACTACGCAACTTTAAGGTGCTCTTCAAGCAGCGCTGCACCCATGGAAAGATCGGAAGATGGAGCGGATGTACCTGAAGTACCACCCCTACCTGATGATAAAACTCCTGAAGTTACTGAGGAAGAGGAGGATGAAGATGACGATGACGGGGAATGTGTAAATGGAATGGGAGGTCAACTCTGCTACAGGTACCTATGTTCCTTATAGCGAAAATGCCAAAAAATACTCTACAGGCCAATTTCACCAACAACAGTCCGTTATTCTCAACCTGTAGGGTAACAGACCGTCAGATACAGCGAATGAGCTTCAAGTTCCAATCAACAAATTTTAGCAACCAATAGCTATGAAATGTTGAAAACAAAATACTGTCAAAGTATGAGATGACAACTTGTTATCAAAACATCACCAGCTTATTGAATATTAAGAAATTACATATTTTAAGAAATGTTTGATGTTGATTTTTTATTCATGTTTATATTATTTTCTTCAATTGATATGTGATACTGGGTGTTTTTTCCTATAAACCTCATGCAGATAGCCATTAAGCACCTACTTGATGATAGACTCTACCAAAAGATATTGCTCGTTTCCAAACATTCATTCATTAACTTGCCGTTCATCAGAACCATTATGGCACCTTAGATTGATATTCCCACAAAACCGTTCAGGTTTTTTGATATCCATACATCCATAAAGTTGAATATTTTTCGTTGTTCAGGAACTCAACAAACATCCACACTATATTCACATCGATTAAGAAATTCCCAAATATATGCCTTAAAGCTACCAGCAAACCAAAAACCTGCAAAAAAACTACAAATTTGCCATATTTTTCTTTTTTCACGAGTACACATTCTAGGTTATATTTATATTAGACATTATTTAAATACAACTGATTATTGCATTTCAAGGAGTGACACATGTGTGGGGTCTGTACACTCTTGGTACCAGTCACAAAACATAATATACTCTGAAGGTTTAATTCCATGCTATTCAATAACAACACGGTGACTTGTGTGGTTATCAGCGGCCATTTTGTGAGGGTGCGACAGGGTTGCCAGATTGTGCATTAATATCCCGTTTCACCCTCCTGGTCCCAGTGGAGTAAATTCCGCCAACTGTTGAAATATACTTTACTATGCTTTATAAGACTATTCGTGACATTTTTCCCAAAATCGTTGCACAACACTTGAAAAAATGCAAATGAAAATTTAAAATTATTTCCATAACGCCGCAATATAGCTCCGTCGGTACCTTGGGTTATACGTCTTGACAGTAGGGATGTGCGATACGATCCTATATTTAGAAGTATCAATACATTTCACGAGTATGGTCATCTTTCGATCCGGACTGTGTCAGAAAGAGTGACTGCCATTTGGCTGCGACATTACCCTGCCAAATCAGACATATCTTTCATCATTTTCAAAGAAATTGTACAAAATCTTCAAATTTGTGAAGTTAGCGAGTTTCACTTCATACGTTGTTACCAGACATGCCCATATCATCAGTTGCTGCCGTGATATTCATCCCGACCACTGCATCCCCACGGCTAGGCGACCTGTATGTTAAATTTGTATTGATATGACAGCGGATTATGCTATAAATCATTTGGACTTAATAGCCATTATCTGTGAAACATTTTTCATAATTTTTTGTCTATGTCCATAGTAATTGCATTATGCATCAGGGAGATGTAGGGATTGACACGTCTTACACATATTATCTGTGTTTTAGGATGGAGAGAACATAATGTTTTTATTGCTTAGAAGAAATTCATTAACCCATAAATTAATAAATGATTACTATTATGACGTAAAGGAAGATGAGGAATTGAATGGAATGTATTTTATATTCTATTTTTTTGCAAAATACAGACAAATCCACACTATTCAACAGGTATGTAATGATAACTTTCAGTATATTGAAGTTGGTAAATTCGAGAGTGCCATGCATTAACAAATGCCAAATCTGCTGCCAAATTTAGCAGCTAGAAAATCGACCTATTATTTGCCGCATTCCCATTCGCTGAGGGGGATAACGGATTGTTAAATGTAAACCTATAACATATATCAAAATACATGAAAGTTGTCCTGTTTTTTCTGTACAAAAGCATCATGTTGGAATCAAAAAGTGGTCTTGTTTATAATACAGTCGAATTTTCACGATTTTATTCAATATTTCAATAGAAATCACTGATATTCAGAGACCTTTGACAACTTCCGTCAAATTGCATTTCGATAAGGTATTTTCCCATTGGTCCATAATATTAATGTTGGTGAAATCGGCCCTACGACTTGCGTTTAATTGTTCTAGATCCTCACAAAGCCGCAAATAATAATAATGAATAATTTTGTCTCGATTTTACCAAAAGTTTTACGTTTTACCATACTAAACATACGTCCGACCAGACAGTTGTTTCGTGCTTTTTGGCTACTCATCAGCATGGTCTAGGCTTAGTCACTCGCCTCTGGACAACGAACATAGCATAGCAATCAGCCTCTATGCAGGAGGTACGATCTATCAAAATGCGCCATCTATTACCAGAATCAACTACTTATTTCGATAGACCGTACCCGTAGCTATTCTAATCTATTCAAATATCGATTTTGGCGTCAGTCGCCACTAGTCCATGGCGTCTCGATGACAAGAGACAAGAACACCGGGACTTATAGCCCAGGAAAGCTTGGCCAAAAGTATAACAGTAATTATAAGTGGTATATAGAATTGACCAAATTTCCATGTTTAACAAGGATCTATAATAGTCCAGGAGTAGTATTCACATCCCCTTGAAAGGATATGTAACTCAGTTTATTATTATTTAGTTTTATTAATTTTTATTTAAGAATTTTTTGACTGAATTTTGAATCTGAAAAGTGACATTATGTCGGTTTTTGATATTATGTAGGTTGCTTATGACATTAGTAGGTTTTCCAACAAGACGTCAACTTGTAATGAGCTGTCGTTCACTTCATGCGGTCTGATAGCAAGCGCGTAATGAGCTATTTGCACACTATACTATAACTATCTAAAACTGTAATGACTCATCGATGTTCACGTGAACATCACTTAACTACCAGTAGTAGGCTGTTCATAGGCGGGGTATGAATGTTTAACATGGATGAACTAGATTTGTCACATGCTTAATAAAGAGTGGTTTGAAACATATTGTAAGTCAAAAATTTGGGAATTACCTTTATTCATCGTCGCTTCCACTTACATCTGACAGTAATAAACTGTCGCTATCGCTTTCCTCGTTGAAACTGACTATAACTGGCTCTATGATGGTGTCGATGTGGTGGTCAAGCTGCCACATTTTTGTTTCTTCCTTCACAACATGACGGATAGCATTCTGCCAAGCTTCGGGCGTTACTAGCTGTATGGAAGTCTCAAGTAAAACCTTAACGTCTGGTAATTTGAAGGTTGTGTTATGGCGCGAATATAACCCTTCACTTGAGCCCAGATGAGCTCTATTGGGTTCAGTTCACAGTGGTAGGGCGGTAACCGCAGCACAGTGGCACCACATTGACGGGCCATCTCATCAGTCACGTGTTCGCAGGTTTGTGCTGTTTAATTTTTTCATACAATTCCGCTTTCACACATGAATCGTCAAACGGGATTCCTTTTTCGCGCAACCATTGCTGCATGTCACTTTTTCGAGATCCCATAGTCGGTACACGTTCCGCTCGACGACTATGGTAGGAAGCATTATCCATGACGATCACAGAGTTGGGCTCAACTCGCTGAAGCACCCCTTTAAACCAGCTCTCGAAGTAGCTGGCATTAATTTCGTCATGGTAATCACCTCCTTTCTTAGAGACGAAAATCAAGTCACACTCTTCTAAAAAGCCACTATCGCTACCAATATGAGTTACGATCAATCTTTGACCTTTCCCTGACGGTCCACGAAGACCTGTTGACAAACCTTCAATGCTTGCTTGTCGGATACTCACTACGTTTTTGTCTATCCAGGTTTTTTTAACTGCGTGACCTGCATTTACCCATGTCTCGTCCAAATAATAGATTTTTCTGCTTTGTCGCCTATATTCAATCATTTCGCGTAGGTATTTTCGATGCCAGGCGACTATTTCAGGTCTCTCTATCAATATTGACTTCCGATTACGCGTTTCGTAACGAAAATTAATTTCGTGCAGGGATTTCCTCATTACCTCGACTCTCATTTGGGGTATAATTTCATTTTCCTTGATCGCTGCATGTACAGCCTTGAGGGTTGGTATCTCATTCCTAAAGAAGAATGAATGTACGGTTCGCCTTAACGCCATTTTGCTATCGTCATCCAATTTAACGGCCTTTCGTCCCTTCAAATTGAACTTTGGATCAGTAATAGCTCCAGTTTTCTTCTTTTCATGCACCACCCTGCGAATGGTCCACTCTGGAACGCCTGTCATACTTTCACAACGCGCGAGTGCATCTCCCTGCGACATAGTTCTGTTCAGATAATTGAACACGTTGAGCACGATTTCTTTCGCGTCCCTCTTCAGTGCTTTACGAAGCCGTCTACTTCTTCCCTGGCTTTCAGTACTTCCACTCGTGCCATTTGTACTCTCCATGGTTAAGTATAACCAAAACAGTAACCACAGAAACCACAACAATAACAATCACACAACAATTCTTATAAAAACACACAATATGCGATCGCTCAACGAAACACGTTCCAATGCGTTGCCGACGCCTATGAGTCTGCCGATCGAGGCGCGTCTTTGATTTCATTGGTTCTACCGGCGGAGAACAATCAGCCATTATTTCCATCACTGTCTGTGCTGTTGACCACCGCAAAGCCACAGAAACAACATATGTCGTACGCTATACGGCTGTACTGGAAGGAAGCCGGGATCGAGCTCTGATCACGTGTTGATCACGCGTATGAGTCATTACAGTTTTAAATAGTTGTAGTATAGCCTACTTGGTCAACTTGTTTTTATCAGTCTTTTACGTGATATAGGATTGCTACGTAATAAGCCTGCCGGACAAAAAACAAAGCTTATAGTATTAAGTTCAGAGTTTTCAAGATATAAACGATTTAGTATTTGAAAAATTGAGAAATATGCCATTTCCGACCCCGAAAAACAATATGAAAAGGCAAACATTTTAATGTCGCCAAAGTTAAAAGATATTCTTCAAAACATCCATTAATAAAATTCTAAACCATTTTGGAGGTGTTGTTATTGCA